TTATTATTATTATTATTATTATTATTATTATTATTATTATTATTATTATTATTATTATTGACTGTTTTCAGAAATGTTTTTTTGATAAATCAATTCACTCTGACTGAAACAGTAAGGCCTAATAATATTACATTAGAACCACAAAATTGATCACAAAATAACTATTTACTGGTATACAGCCGGTGATCAACTGATCTAGTGAAAAAATAGGTTTTTATTTTTATTTTTTTAAAGGTTGACTAAAAGTATTACTTCCCCTCAACATAGAATTAAAATAGAGCAGCATTATCCTTTATTGTCCCTCTGTGGGGGAAATTCAAGAGTCACAGCAGCTTAAGGTAAGTAGAAGCATGTATATTCCCACAAAAGTAAATTAATATAAAAATAAGAGTAAGACATCATACAGTAAGGGCAAATTTTCAATGTAAGAAAAATAATACTGCACAGTTATTAAAAATAGTATACTCCAATTATAATACATGCACATCTGAGTAGATTTTTTATTTAATCTGGAACAAGCTTTGAGAAAACTGCTGAAACACTGAGTTCCTTTAAATACGGGCTAAAAAAGCATTTATTTAGAGTTGCCTTTGATTTATAATAACTGTCCACAAAGAAGAAGGATCTAAAATTAAGGAAAACAAAAGTGTACATGGATAGCTATTGTGGTAATTCAGGAACTTGCACTAATAGGTTTAGCAATCCCAACCATCTGCAAAGACAAGAAAAAAGATTAGAATGAGATTGAGACACAGCAATGACTCAAAGAAGATACAGGGATGTTGTGAAAAGTCAAGAGCTTAAGTGAACTTTTCGTCCTCAGAGGGACCAAAAGGTCTTTCAGGGAGTGACTTTGCCAAACAACCAAGACAAAAACAAAATACTTAATCTTTTTTGTGAACCGTATGAAGCTTAGCAGAAATAAACCGTATTTCTGTTGAGGCTCCAGTGATCAAGTTCACTTTAAAACATAAGAATCCGAGACAACAAAGACAAGCCTTAAGAAATGAAAGTTACATCGCTTTGCATAACGGTTTCAAAACTCTACTATACACTCCTCTAATTGTTTTGAGGTTACTTTTGTCTCAGCTGACATTCATTTCAGTCCAGTGGTAGTTCATAGTTCAATAAGGCTTGGCTTCATTTCCAGACAACAGATACAGGCCATATTTGCTGTAGAGTTGTGGGGTATGTGAAGCTTTTAAAGGAGTCATCCTCTAAATGTGTTCTTCAAAGAATGAATTAACCTAAGCCCCCGTCATCAGCCCTCTATATGTTTGGTGTTCATTAAAAATCACTAAAAATTTAGCCTAACCCCATTAATCTGCCACCTCTGTAATGGGAACATTGCTGAAGAAGCTCTGTTGCTATTTTTGATGAAACACTGCAAACATGGAAGCCATGTTGTTTTAGATTGAAGACACCTGACTTATTC